ACCACAGGTAGCCCAAGCTCTCTATATGAACCACACAAGGAACACAAAATGGCATATCGATTTATAAGGATTTGTATGGGATTTTCTACTAGATATCCATGGAGGTAGTTAAAAGTGAAAATATTCAATAAAAATGGCTTACCTTATTCCATACGTGTGTTGTTTGCTCCTGGTGTCGTTATTTTACCGATTTAACTTGATTTAAGCGATTTTTTTAATCCTGGTTTTCTCTTCTTAAAGAGAAGCGAAATGCTTCTCTTTAAGAAGAGAAGGATTAAAAAAAAAATCGCTTAAATCAAGTTAAATCGGTAAAATAACGACGCACCAGGAGCAAACAACCCCCGTATGGAATAAGGTAAGCCATTTCTATTGAATATGGATATCTAGTAGAAAATCCCATAAAATCCTTATAAATCGATATGCCATATTGCGTTCCTTGCGTAGTTCATATAGAGAGCTTGGGCTACCTGTGCGCGTACTTACAAAGCAATTTAGCCAGAATGGGTGGTAAAACGGAGCGGCTCTCGGATCGATACAGCAAAATTTGGATACTTTTGCCGCTGGAATGGGTAGGTATTAGCAAAGCGCTCTCGCGGGTGGAAATTTGAGAGAGATCGGTCGACTTATGTGAAATTTATCAGCCTTCGAGTGGCGACGGTTGGTGTTCAGGACCGGTTAAAGTTTCCAGCCTTGTGTTTTTCTATATACAGTTGACTGGTAGCATCACACGCGTTACAAAGAAAGTCGTCAAAAAAGCGTTAAAAGGACGTAAACGACAAAGGGACTACGGAAAACAGGTAAAGAGACTTCATACGTTACATTCCTCGATTTTATTTTCCTTTTTAATTTGTTCTTAACTTTTTTTAATTTTCCTTAAATGGCCCACGCTTACGCTTAAAATTCGATCTTAATATATTAGGTATTCCTGTTAATGACCTTTAGACCACAAAATCACACACAGTACGCTTAGGCCACCTGTGGGCTATTTAGAGTTTTAATTCTTCCAGAAAATACTTCTACAGCTGTTTGATCACAAATACTTGTGTGGAGAAAAATATACGTGGAATATTGAGCAATATTCTGATTTTTTTAAAATTTTTTTCTTTATATAGGTTAATTTCTACAGCTATGAGTTCATAACATTTTTAAAATTCTTGTGCGTAACAAATATTATGGTGAATTTCTTGCAATGGTATTAATTGGCGCTTACTGATGAAGCTTACATTCTCTAAAAAGGCGCTATTATTAAGTCAAACTCAACAGCTGCTATTTGCTTGACTTTTTCCTACCCTCGAATGACTGATTTGTTTTGATTTACACTTAGCTGGTAATGAAGTCAAAAACTGAACTACACTAAAACTTTGTCGAGGAGTACATCACCAAACAAACGAAACTAAGTAAACATGCTAAGGTTTTCTAAAAAAGGTTTCAAATCATATTCTCTTATATCCATGGCATAGAAAGTATGCAACGGAGCCACAACAAGAGGGTAGAAGAAGAAAAAGTGCTTTCAAATTAACTTCTATATTTTTCTTCGTTTCCTTTTGCGTTACCTGGTTGCTTCTAGACAGACTAACTTTAACTCTACGAGCAGGAAAGCGACACCACAAACAAAGCCAAGATGACGAACACATTATGAGCAACCACAGACACTGTTCCGGCAGTTGGAACATCTTTGGGAAAAAGAGGGTAAAAAAAAAAAATTTAAAATGTAGGCATTAATTCCAATGAAGGTTGACAGATTTCTTCGCTATGTTACAAATTCTTACAAGC